CCGAGGAAGCCGAACCGACCCAAAACCGAACGGGAACCGGACGGCCCCCACCCGAACCGAGAGAAGCCGAACCGGACGTCGCAGCCGAGAGGACAGCTGTCGCCGCTACACGATCACGGACCGACCCGAACCGTGCCGATCCCTTCGTGGTGAGGTGGAGCCCTCCCGCATGCCTCCAAGAGGCTACAAGACAGCCTCAAGACGGCTCCAGGTGGGCACAAAGCCTCCCAGGACGGCCCCGAGATGTCAGGATCCGTCCAAAACCTACGAACCAAAAAAAAATCATGCTGCACTCCTTTCGCCAATTCGCTTCTAGTGGGCTCTTGACGCCGCAAGATGCCTCCAAGATCCCCTACGAGAGCCCCCAAAGAGAGGGGGCAATCAGATCAGGGCTCCAAGACAGCCCCGCGGGCTCTGAGGGGCGCCCCGGGCGCCCCAAGTGGCCTTCCGCGCGCCGCCGACGACGGTGGGCCTGTCAGCGAACGCTTCCAGAAAGCAAGCTCCGGGAGTGCGGGGGCCGCGAGCACAGGACCGGAATCCCGGGACAGCTCCCCACGAGGCGCAACCGCCAGGACGGGCAACGTGGCGCTCCCCCCCACCCCACGCCGCCAACGCTCTCCCCCCATGATGCCCCCTGGCTGCACGCGAGGGTGCCCGTTGTCGAGGATGCCCTGAGCCGCGCTGCGTTCTGGGGGGGGGGAGGGGGCAGGATCGGGGGCCGACCCCCAAAAAGGACCCCCAGCGCCCGCAGGGGCACCCCCGCGACCCCGCCCTGAGACTCCCAGAAACATCGTGGTGCCCGCTCGATCTCAGAGCATCGGAGCGGCAGCAAAATGGAAGCGCGCCTTGCCCAGGTCCAGCCGGATGCGCTTCGGCTTCTGCGCAGCGTCCACCCCGGCGATGCGCTGGGCGGCAGGTTCCAGAGCAGGGCGGCCAGCGGGCCAGGGAAAGAAACATGACCAGGGAGGGGCAGCGGTTCTCTTCCTGCGTGCCCTAACGGGGCCACATGCAACTCTCCGCTTCGCACCGCATCGCCGATGCACCGCCGATGCACCGCCGAGAATCGCACGGCATCCCCGAGCCATCGCCGCTGCTTCGGCGAAGTCGGGATCAAGAAGACCAGGCTACGGATCGAGCCACATCCCCGATGCGGCGTGGTCCACCGACCCCATCCACTCCAGCCCCATTTGGACTGCAGGTCACGGCAGAATTAGAATTAGAAACGAGAGTTCGGGCCTCAAGCATCCATTGGGGACTGTCTATTCCCCAACATCCCACCCGTCGCCTCAGCCCTCGATGGTGCTGGATGGTATGCCGATCTCGCAGGTGAGTCAATCACCGAACGAGAAAGTCACCTATGAGATGCACCAGAGGTCAGACCAAGCGCAGGCGACTGCGGATGCTTCTGGCCGTTCACCGCGCCCGAGACCTAGAAAAAGATGCTGGGTTCCGCAGAGAGAGCTGTTGCATCCAGACTTCCAGCCTGAGCTGTTGTCAAGGAACCTTCATCAATTATTTGTCGGTCAGCGGCACTGCACATTTGAAAAACCGAAGCAGCAGCTGGTCCCCACGACTCAACCGAGAAAGGCGTTTTTATCACAACCGGGGACGCGCAGCACTCTACTGCAACTGCGGCAGCTCCTGGTAACTATCGAGGTCAGATTTTGGACAGCTGCGGGCCGCCGCCTGGGATCAAAACCACGATCGCTTTCGCCGTCGCCCGCAGGACTCCGATTGTTTGGAGGGGAGCGTGCGTGGGGCCCGGCCCACCTGCCGTATGGTCCTCTGCATTCGTGCGGGACCCACTGCCACACAATCCCGAATGTGTTGTGGGTTGCACGGACCTCTTTAGGGTTCCAAGTAATTCCCCTGGATGGACTTCGCATATCAAGGGTTCTTCCGAACCCATAAAAAGACTCGCCGAGCCTCCGAATAGTTCCGCACTTCAGATTCCTAAAGAGCTCCTGCGGAAATCCCACCCGGCCCCGACACGGACCTCCTTAGAAGAATATGGTATGAAAATTGCATGCCTGGGATATGTTAGAATTCGAAAATCCTGAGGTTCCTGCGGATTCCGATGCTAAGGATTTCTCATAAATCGTCAGGAGTCCCAAGGAGATCGTCCCCGACCTGGACTTGGACTCAGAACCAGTCCTCCGAACGTCTCATCAGGATTTCTTAGCAGCACTCTGGTGTGAAATTTACACTTGTGGGAACCCTCAGGACAGCAAAGGAGGTGGAATCCTCTGGATTTCCGAAGAGAAGATCAGACATATGTCTTCTGCAATAAGTATGCACATGTAAGATCGATGCCGTGCTACACAGCTCTCTGATCTTGAAACGCATCGGAGCCTAACAGGCGTCTGCATGGCCCAGTTGTGTTTGGCCCTGATGCCTGCTTTTGCGCCGGGCCCTGACGGAAGCGCGCCAGCACCACGCTGAGGCATACCATGGTGAAACAGACTTCGCCCACTTTTTAGTCAGCGGCCGCGGGCGGGCGCGCCGGCGGCGAGTCCAGTCAAAGCGGGGCACACAGCGACGAATTAAGCTAAAGCGACGGAGGGTGGCCACACCTACAGCGGCTAACCGGGCCCTCACGCAGCAGCTCAGCGGCGGACCGGCGAGTGGGGGGGCAGCAGAAACTGAGTCGTACTGCCAGCGTGCAAGTCAGACTTCGACCACTCGCAACGCCGCCGTTCTGCTCCGACTGGCCCAAGAGAGCGCTGCCACGACCATGCCGTGCTCGAGGCCGGCCTGCGCGCAAGGTGCGCACGCGCGCAGTGTGGTCTGTTCGCACCAGTCGGGCATAGAGGATGCAACTCACAGCTGCCATGTCTGAAGGGGCCCCAGGACACACAAATGAATACACACAAATAAAAATGATTCCCCATACTTCCCCATATGTTCTAGGCTTTTGTCTTCCCCCACACTTCCCATATTTTCCCGGGAGTGGACGATGAATTGTGTCTGTGTGTTTTTCCCCCCCTGAAGATGATGCAACTCACAGCTACCATGTCTGCGACTGTCCACGCTCGGGCCGATACGTTCATGCAGCGGTCGGCCGACGCGGCCGACGGGGCAAACGGCAAGAGGGCGAGACCTCTCAATCCTTCGCCTGGAACAGCCCCCCCCCGTCAAAACTAGCCCGATTGCTGATCGGTCAGATACGGAGGCAGTGAGAAGCCGAGAGTGAGCCAAGGGGAGAGTGCGAGGAAGAAGCGCAGGGGTGCGGGGACGGGCAACGAAGGGGAAAGGGCAGGGGAGGGAGGTGGAGGGAGGGACCAGGGGGCACGGCAAAAAAGGCAGCAGAGGCTCCTTGTCGAGCACGTCCAGGGCGTTGTCAATGAGCTCTGCCCAGCCGAACTCCTCCGGGCCCCTCCTCTCCCCCGGATGCCACAGGAGGGATGGCCGGAGAGGACCCGCCCCGCGCTCGGCAGCCCCCCAGGGGGGTCTGCGAGGTCGAGCCTCGCAGCTGCGGCCCCCCGGAGCCGCAGACCGGTACGGACTTTGGGGTCGGGCAATGTCCTCCTACAGGGGGACCTGGAAGGAAAATCTGGAAATAGTCACAAAAGGAGTCCGGAAACAAACAACAAGTCGTCCCCAGACTATTTGTGCAACTATTTCTGAATATCCCTCCTGTCAAGGGAAGGGACCTGGAAGGAAAATCTGGAAATAGCCACAAAAGGTTCAAAAGGAGTCCGGAAACAAACAAAGAGTCGTCCCCAGGCTATGTTGTGTCACTATTCTCGAATATCCCTCCTGTCGAGGGGAGGGCCCGACGTAGCACTGATTGTCAGGAACAGTTAGTTTGGAAGAGAAAGGGCGCGGCCGCAGAACCGCGTGCGCCGGCGACGGCACGACTGTCCTGCAAGCAGTGCACTTTTTCCCGCGGGGGCATCTCGGCAAGAGCGCTGTCCTGCAAGAGTGGACTGCCGTCGGGGCGCTGACCCAAGGAACCCTAAAAGAGGAACGAGGCCCCTTTTTCATAGGTTGAACTTCGATTTCCCATAGAAAACCTCCAGAAAACCTAAGGTAAACTGAACAACCATCAAGGAACGCTGGGCCCCTTCCCAACGAAGAGGGTTCCTTTTTGAGCGCCCCGACTGTACACTTTCCCGCGGGGGCATCGGCAAGAGCGATGTCGGCAAGAGTGGGCTACTTCAGGTGCTCAGCAACCGCCAGGACGAACGCCTCCTTTGCCCTCTTGCTGGCCAGCCCCACGAAGCGATTGCCCGGGTCTGACTTCCACTCTCCGCCCACGATCCGCACGGCCTCCTCTGCTGAGAAATGACAGAGCATTGCACACTCAAACCAAAATGGAGAAGAAATGGGGAAGGGCAGGGGGAACGAAGGCTATAGGTATGGGCACAGGTTGTCGGAACCCGAGGGGGCTCTCGTTCAAGCGGAGACCCCACCGGACAACACACACCCATTTGTCCCACGGAGTTCCACCCCGAGAAATCCATGGGACGCGTAGGTATGTATGCGTGCTAGTTGTCAGCTCATGATCGCCTGCAGCGAGGCTGGAAGAACAAAAAACAGCATGACCGTAATTTCTCGGAGGTCCGCACGGATTTCCCCTCCCTGGCGCGCGGAGCGCACCAGTGGCGGCGCCAGAGGCGCCGCCAGGGGGGCCCGGCGCCGATCCAAGAAATCCGCGCGGACCTCCGAGGAATAGCCTATACACTCATCGGGCCACCGGAAGGAACGCAGAATGAGGAACGAGGGGGCTTCTCTGGCCATGGCGGGCCTAGGCTGCAAAAAGGTTCCACGGCATGAAAATCAAGGAACGGCCCAGAAACCCGAGCCCCTCCTGAGCCCAGATCGGTCCTTATTTCTAGGTCGGGCATGTCCCCCTACAGGCGGATTTTGAACGAAAAATGCCCAAAACATGCTCACAAATGGTTCAAAAATATTCAAAAAATCATACCCAGGCTATTGTTTGATTATTTTGAATAATCCTCAATCTTTGAATAATCCTCAATCTAGAGGGACGTGCCCGACTTAACCTTATTTCAGCGTCTTGACTGTATGTATGCCGCTTTTTGCCCCCCGGGAAGCACAGAGCCGTCCACGCCCTGGGCCGCTTGGGTATGGGTGCGAGTTGCCAGCGCTCATGTCGGCGGCGACGATAGGGGCGAATAGCCCATGGGCGGGCATTACACGCATTCGCCTGGGAGCCTTGTCGAAGACATGGATCATCGGCACCCCTGGATATATGTGTTGCTCACCCTGGGCTATTCGCCCCTATCGTCGCCTCTGATCATGATCCTCGCACAGCTCGGGGTCGAGCCTGGCGCCCGCCGGCGCCCTCTGCAGGGCCACCTCGCGGAGCGCGCCGAGGCTCGGCCGGCCCGCGGCGTCACAGGCCTCGTCCAGGGCGTCGGCCAGCCCCTCCAGGTCGCACTTCCCCTCGCCGTAGGCCTGCTGATGGGACTGTTTTCCACCACCACCACCACCATGAGTTGGAGGGGGAGGGGGTCCTCTCCCCCTCCTCCTCCTCCTCCTCTCCTCCTCCTCCTCCTCCTCCTCCTCCTCCTCCTCCTCCTCCTCCCTCCTCCTCCTCCTCCTCCTCCTCCTCCTCCTCCCTCCTCCTCCCTCCTCCTCCTCCTCCTCCTCCTCCTCCTCCTCCTCCTCCTCCTGCTCCTCCTTCCCCCCCCAACTCATGGTGGTGGTGGCGGTGGGAAGCAGGCCCATCACCTGCAGGGCCTGGGCGTGCAGCTCCCTCAGCTCGGCGAGGCCCCACCCGCGGCCCCCGGGGGGCGCCGCGGGCGCGGCGGGCGCCCCGGGGCGCGGCCGCAGGCCGGGCGCCGGCCCGTCCAGGAGCGCGTCCAGCTCCGAGGCCGGGGCGGCGAAGCCCAGGCAGCGGAACCACGCCCGGGCCTCGGGGGAGCTCCGGGAGGCACGCTGGCACTCTTAGACGAGCGCGCTCCGCTACTTTTTTGGTCTGCGGGTCGGGAGCGAGCCCCTTCCGGTCAAGGGCTAAACGGGGCGCGGGTAGCCCTAATTGGGGAGACAGGGCGCGGGCGGGCGGGGCCTCAGGCGGCCGGAGGGCTCACGAGCGCTCCACTACTCGCAGAGTGTGATCGATGCTGATCGGGCAGAACTTTGGTGGAACCTACTCTGAGTACTGAGCGCTGCGATTCCGCGACCCGATGCTCAGCGTCTTCGGTCCGAGAACGAACGAACGTCACCTGAATATTTGAAGTATCTATCGAATGGCGTCTGGAGAATCCAGATGCTTCCAAAACGGTATTTCTCCTCTTCTGTCGTAACGTATTCGACGTCTTGAGACCAATCTTCCCCCGCGGGGGGATCTTATATCACATCAAAGCAGACATGTGTTTTTCAGACGTTTGAGAGTAGGCGCTCTGCGGGTAGTGGAACGCGCTCGGTGAGGCACGAGTCCTGGTCTGGCCCCGTCCTGGCAAGGACTCGGTGCCAGTGCACAGCTGGAGGCCCCCGGCGGCCTCGTCGCGGTCCAGCGCCCTGGCCCCGGGCTGCCCAGCCACGATCCGGAAGGCCCAGCGCATGTCCGACTCCTGCCGGAAGGTCAGCTGCCGGGCGGCCATGCGCGGCCCGCCCTGCCGGCCGGGGGCCCTGCCGGCAGGCGGGGGGCCACCCTGCGCCTCTCGGACCCGCTGGCTGGCGGCGCGGGGAGGGGCCTCGCAGAGGCTGCACGGCTCCGAGCCAGAGGGGCTACGGGCGCCCTGCCCGCCAGGCAAGTACGACCCGGCCCGGCGCAGCCAACAGAGGGCATCCCAGTACGAGTGGCGTGCTGGTCTGTGTGCCATGGGGGACCCACGACTACAAGAACAGAACACCGCATTTCGGAACCAGGATGGGGAACGCGAGCAGCCACCTCTACTCAATGTGCAAGGCCGCTCGGCAAATTGCCTGAAGTCCGCCAACGGCTGCCAATGGGGCAATCTCAAAGACGCGGGACAAGGACACGCCCGATCCTCTCGTTATGCCTCCAGTGACTGCTTGGACCACTACGGCTTAGCTTCTCGTGGACCAGCCATCGATGCCATGCTGCTTCTATGGATCTTACTGTACAGTGCTTGCTGAAGGCCCTTGTTTGGACTCCTATGGATTCCCTGCCTAACTGGCCCCAAGTGCAGCACGTCTTCCGGTAACTGTTTGGACCCTCATGGCTTGGATACCCATGGTTGCCTGCCCACCTGGCCCTGATTGTCGCAGCCCTTCCGACAGCTGCAGGGGCCCCTATGAATTTGACCCCATATGTCGTGAACATCCACGGCTTCCCGCCCCATTCGCCCTGGGTGTCGCACATTTTCTGTCTGGTGGCGGCTTGGACCCTTGTGGCGTGGACGTGGACCCTACGGCTATGGCCAAGCATGTCCGTTGTGGCTTCCCAATATGATAGCTTGGCAGTCGTGCCCACGCATCAACAAGCACAACAAGAAGGCATCGTCGGCCTCCTGGCGCCCATTCTCACAGGGGACCGTGATCACGAGGCCAATCGCTGTGAGGAAGACGGCTTTCAGAGGCGCTCTGAACACACGCACACACACACACACACACCAACAAACAAACAAAACACACACACACACACAGACACACACACACACACACGCACGCACGCACACACACACACACACACACACACACACACACACACACACAACACGCACACGCACGCACGCACGCACGCACGCACGCACGCACGCACACACACACACACACACACACACACACACACACACGTTAGTGAAATCAACAAGTGCTGTAGCGGCCGAACTTCATCTTCCCTATTGGCAATCCGCACGGGTACACCGAATCGTCGCCTTCCTTCTTCATCGCGCTTCCTCTGCAGGGCGCCATCCTCGCTGCGGGGTCGGGCGGACTTATATAGACGGGCGAGCGGGCAGGTGGACCCCGCTTGGCGGTCGGGTCGGGTCGGGCGGACCTGCAATCGGCCGGCTGGGGGTACGCTTGGATTGGGTCGGGCAGTCGCTGTTTCGGGCCTGGCGGAGCCGCATTCCAGCGGTCGGGGCGGGTCGAGGAGTGACGGACGGCACCATTAGCTTGCGGTCGGGGCAGGAGGCAGAAGGAGGAGGGTAAAGCAGGGATGGAAAAGGAGGGGATGACAGGGGGGAGGTCGGAGAAGGGAGGTGGGAGCAGGAGGGAAAGGAGGGGAAGCAGAAAGGAGGAAAGATAGAGAGAGAGAGGGGAAAGAGGGAGGTGGAGGGAGGAGGGAGGGAGGGAGGGAGGGAGAAGACGCCAGCCTCGGAAGTGCAGCACCATCGGAATGTTTGGGCGTTACAGGCGCAAGCTCCGTGAAGCATTTGGGAATGCTGGGGATCCGCGGCAGGTCGGAAGGCCAAACTCTGAGAGCCTCACGCCATGCGCGGCGGAGGCAGTCCAGCGACGGGAGCAGGTGCCCCCCCCCTGGCAGCGAGTCCGTGAAAACAGTTTGATGTTGGTCACGGCCCCACTCCGAGACGCTGCCAGGGGACGGGATGACTATGGGCTGCTCTGACTCTTCTCGCCGTCAATATTCTTCGGCAGCGGTCCCAGGATCGCGCACCTCCAAGGTGGCCCAAGGCACTCTAAGACCGCCCCAAGACGACGCCAGCAGGGCCCAAGACCGCTCCACGACAGCCACAAGATGCTCACAACGCGACCCTGAGCACCCCCAAAAAATGCCCCAAGACCCCCTGACGGTCGCAAGACCCTCCAACATGGCCCGAAGACCACAGCGGGCTCGCAAGAGGCCCAACGAAGCTACCTAGGCGCCCCCCAGCGAGCGCCCAAAACCCTCGATGACACATGTCACAGCCTTCTGGGACGATTGAAAAATCGAGTGCTGCTGTCAGGAATGTCTGCTTGGCGTGTCGCGGCGGCGCCCCTGGCGACACGCTACGCCGCGCGTGTGGACAGCGCGTCGTGCCGCTCCGCGGGGCGGGAGACCACGCAAAGCTCGGGACGTTGACGCCTGGGGACCGGGAGGTGGACGGCGTGCCGCGCCGCAGCGCGATGGGCCGGACCTGGCGGAGCGACGCGCGCAGCCGAAGGCCCTGGCCGACGCGCCACGGCTCTGCCCGTGGGGGGAGCGAGCTGCTGCCTTTTACCAGCACTCCAGGAGGCGCGCAGTGGGCAGGCCTCAGGCACTCGGCTGTAGCATGAATGTCACGGCCGTATCAAGCCCGTCTCGGGTCGGGCGAAAGGGGGGGGAATTGCAAAGGGGGGGGGGGGGGAGAATCAGCTCACGCAGCTGCCCTTCCCGGCGCCTCCCGGCGCCAGAGGCGGCCATGTATCGAGGCATGGGCCCCTCGGTGGGGCCGAGACCAGCTGCACGCAGCAGATTTCGTAACCCCCGCTTTCCCAATCCCTCCTCCTCCTCCTCCTCCTCCTCCTCCTCCTCCGCCTCCTCCGCCTCCTCCGCCTCCTCCTCCTCCTCCTCCTCCCAATCCCCCCTCTCGTCCGGCCCGACTGTCGGAGGGCATTGCCCAATGCTGCGGCCATCTGCAGCGCAGGGACGACGACCGCCACCCCGGACGGCCTCCTGCGCTGCTCTGGGGGAGGTCGTCCCACGGAGCGGCGTGCCGGCACGCCGGCCCCAAGAGTTTTCGACGCCGGCGCCCAGACGTGCAGAGCGCTCGATGGCTGTGGATGCCACGACGATGGACACTCGAAGAGATTGAAGTAGAGATGAGTTTGAAATGTGTAACACATGTTCTGAAGATGTCTCAAACATGTCTCTACAGATTTAAGGCATACGTGGCACAGTTCTTGGACATCTGGATACAATTGGGCAGCACGCTTCGCCTCCATGAATCGACTTCCACAGCTCTATGGAACAGTGGCACGGAGGCGCCTTCGTCCTTGTCGCCGCCCTTAGGCATCGGGGACAGCGCCAGCCCATCGAGCAAGGAGCGTCAATCAAAGGAGGTACGGGCCAGGCCCCCCGATCAATCTCAAGGGGCCCTGGGACACACAAATAAATGTATACAAATAACAGGATTCACCATATGTTCCCATATTTTCTCGGTTTTTGTCTTCCCCCCAATTCCCATATTTTCCCATATTTCCTGGGGAATCGACGATTAATTGTGTCTGTCTTTTTTTCCCTCCTGACAGTCGACAGAGCTCCGGCCCCCTTTGCCGCGCGGCGTGGCTCCTGCCTCAGCGCGGGCACCTGCTGCAGGATCATAGGCAGGACCTGGCCCGACTTCCCTGCGGGCTGGCGGGACGCCACGTTACCACCCCCTCCTCCCCGCCCTCACTCTGGCATCCGCCTCCAATTCCAACTGCATCGTCATGCATCCTGTTCTTTTCGTCAGTGTTCCTCCTCATCATCATCATCATCATCATCATCATCATCATCATCATCATCATCATCATCATCATCATCATCATCATCATCATCATCATCATCATCATCATCATAATACCACCACCACCACCATCATCATCATCATCATCACCATCAGCATCATCAACATCATCATCCGCATCATCATCGTCGACATCATCAGCATCCGCAGCTCCCGCCTGCTGCCTGCTCTTCCTCCTCCTCCATGCTTCTCACTATCCTGCTGGGCGCGGCACCATATTCTGGAAGCTCGTCGTACCACGACTCGATGGGCGGCGCCTGGAAATGCACCCCGCCCAGCATGTGCCAACAATATCTCTCCTCAGTGTTTGCCAGCGTGGGCCCAAGACTGTGAGTGAACTCACTCTCTGGACGTGTATTACACATGTGGGGTACAGAATCCATGTTATGCAAACTACACGGTGCAAGCTATGTGGCGCAGTGGATGTTGTGCAATCAATGTAGTGCAACATGTGTGGTGCTGTCTATGTTGTGCAATCTACGTGGCACAGTCCACGTGGTGCAACCCGTCACCGAGCCAGCGGTACACAAGTTGAGGCGTGTTAGAGTGCTCTGCTGTTGTCTGGCAAGGCCCCCCCCTCGCCGCGCGCACCCTTGAAAACCGTCCCCTCGGGATTGGCTCTGCGGCGCCCTCTTGGCCTCCAGAAACAAAAAACTAAGACGATCCAAGATGGCCTCAAAGCGTCTCCAAGCTGGTCCAAGACGCCTCGAAGACAACATCAGGTGTCGCCAAGACGGCCCAGGAGGCCCCTGATACAGCCCAAGAGAGATCCAAGAAGCCCTTGAGAATGACCTGAGGACGCCAAAACCAACGACTTCACAGTTGTTTTTCCAATAGTTGTCGCGTTCCTGCCTTGTCGGGCTTCAGGAACCCAAGACAGCCCCAGAGGCTCCCAAGACGACCAAAGGCAGACCCAGGACGACCCAAACAGCCCCTGAGGCGGCTCCAAGAGGGCCCAAGACGGCACAAGGGACCTCCAAGACAGGCCGAGAGCGCCCCAAGAGCCCAAGACGGTCGAGATGGACCCCCAAGACGGCCAAGGAAGGAGGACCTTCCATTCTCTCTATCTCTCTCTCTTTCTCTCTCTCTCTCTCTCTCTCTCTCTCTCTCTCTCTCTCTCTCTCTCTCTCTCTCTTTCTTTCTATATATATATATATATATAATATATATATATATATATATATATATATATTTATATATATATAACTAGAACCATCGCGCGCGCTTCGCGCGCGCTCTGGTTCTAGCCCAGGCCGGGGGGGCGCAGGACGATCTTGGACAACGCTATCAAGCACAGGCGCGCGACGGCATCTGAGGAGCTTCTGGGGTGTTCCTCATGCTTCGTCAACTGGCTGTTGGAGGCACCTCTTGGGTGCTTCTTGGGGGGGCGTCTGAGGGTCCCTTGGAGACATCGGTTCTGCAATCTGAAGCCGTCATTGGCCGTCTTCGCTGCGTGGAGGCCCGACTTGAGGCCACCTGCGGCCAGATTGAGGCAATCTGGAAGCCTCCCAGGGGCCTCCTGGAAGCAGTTTTGACGCATCGAGGGCACCCTTGGGCTGTTTTAAAGCCTCTTGGACGTCTCCTAGGGGCCTTTTAGGCCCTCGGGAAG